GGTTTATGTTGATGATATTGTTATTACTGGTAATGATCAGGATGGTATTACTAATCTGAAGCATTATCTCTTTCAGCACTTCCAAACTAAGGATCTGGGCAGATTGAAGTATTTCTAGGTATTGAGGTCGCTCAGTCTAGCTCAGGTATTGTTATTTCACAGCGGAAGTATGCCTTAGACATTCTTGAGGAGACTGGAATGATAAGTTGCAGACCTATTGACTCTCCTATGGATCCGAATGCTAAGCTTCTGCTTGGACAGGGGGAGCCTCTTAGAGACCCTACGAGATATAGGAGGTTGGTTGGCAAATTGAATTACCTCACAGTGACTAGACCTGACATTTCTTTTCCGGTGAGTGTTGTAAGTCAGTTTATGGATTCTCCCTGTGATAGTCACTGGGATGCAGTTGTTCGCATTCTTCGGTATATAAAGTCAGCTCCAGGCAAAGGATTACTATTCGAGGATCGAGGCCACGAGCAGATTGTTGGGTACACAGATGCTGATTGGGCAGGATCACCTTTTGATAGACGTTCTACGTCTGGATATTGTGTTCTAGTAGGAGGTAATTTGGTCTCGTGGAAGAGCAAGAAACAGAATGTAGTTGCTCGATCTAGCGCCGAAGCCGAATATCGGGCCATGGCTATGGCGACGTGTGAGTTAGTTTGGGTCAAGCAGTTGCTCAAGGAGTTAAAGTTCGGAGAAATCAGCAAGATGGAACTAGTGTGTGATAACCAAGCTGCTCTTCATATTGCGTCAAATCCGGTGTTCCATGAGAGGACTAAACACATTGAGATCGACTGTCACTTTGTCAGAGAAAAAATACTTTCAGGAGATATTGTTAAAAAGTTTGTAAAGTCGAATGATCAACTAGCAGATATTTTCACTAAGTCTCTTACTGGTTCTCGTATTAGTTACATGTGTAACAAGCTCGGTACATATGATATGCATGCACCGGCTTGAGGGGGAGTGTTAGTTTATAGATATGTATAGTGTAGTCTTGTCCCACATTGGAAGAGGAGTAATATCTCCTTGTAGTGTATAGCTATAAATAGGGACCTCTTGTATTGTATTTATCATCCAATATCAATAACATATTTTCTCACGTGCCTTCTCACAACAGCCATATTGAGAAGAAGCAGAAACAACATATCAGTGTCCAGATCGTATCTCCCTTTAGGTGGAAAAGAAAACTGACACATGTGACAATTAATTACCTCAAGTGTTGGAATTGCAGTAGCAAAAGATAGAGCCTTAAAGCACCAACGAAGTGTATAACAAGCATCTTGAAGTTTAGGAACCAAATCAAACTTGAAACCAAGACCTTGACCTGCTTCTACAACCGAGTCTATGGCTTGTATTTGCTTTTCACTTTTGCCATGTCTGATCAATATTTCATCATCTATATTTTCGACATTCAACAGACACTTTGTATCATACAACACAGAGCAGGCATCCTGCTCCCACCTGGTGCAAGTATCAAGCAATGTTTGAATCATCAGTTGTTCTCTCAAAGATAGCTTCAAAAGCTTAGAGTCTGATACCAATTCCTGCAAAAATTACAACAAAGGATGTAAGAGCTTCGTTATATTTCGCAAGTGCAGAGTTTGCAAATGATTAACCTTCAAAGTCTCTACTTCAAGAGGACTTGAACCAAGTGCCATGGAGTCACGTGATAAAAAGGGCTGTGACCTAGATAACCAAGACTTCGCAATTGATACCGCATCCTTGACTTCATCAAGAGAAGGCAGAATCACAAATATCTCCTCGGAAGCCCTAAATATTTTGCAAAATTTAAATAATACTCAGGAAGAAGAATAAATACACAAACACAGAAGCAAGAAATATGAAGCAATAACTAAATCAGGGAACGAGGCAACACCTTATAACATCCTCAAATTCAGATATTTGTTCCTTGCTTACAAGGACGCGCCTGGCACTTTCCTCCCAAACTACAGCATTCGCTTTTACCTCAGAAACATCAGCAAACAACTTCTCTTTCTCAATCTGCAATCTGGAGATATATTCACATGTAAGATGGGATGATCAATAGGTTTTTCAAGATAATCATTATTGGTAAAGCGAAAATTGTAATAATACATGCTAGCCTCCATCAACAGCTGCTCAATATAATCCATGGACATTTTGCAACGAAGTGCCTGTACGAAAGAATTTCAGAAAATTCAGATAGAGGAGTGAACTAAAGATTTACGAGTACCGAAATATTGCAATGAATGATGAATTACTTTAGACAGCGTAAGTGATTAGATGTCAAAGCAGTCATGAACCATAAAAAGAATCAGATAACCAAGAAAGAAAAATGAAAAAGATGGATAGCACATGATAAGAACGTTGAAAATGTAACTTAATGATTGGCAGAAAGTGATAGGAGAAGAATGACACTCTAGTTACCTTCAGAGCTTTTACCCTACAACCAGCCTTCTTTAGCTCAACATCCAAACAAGGCAGCTCCTCCACTATGTCAGAAGTGTGAGAAATATTATAGCTATTTGCATTACACACTACTAGTAAATAAAAGATTAAATGAGATCTCCAAACCTTTAACTTTAAGCAAAGACGCATCCTTTAGAAGGCAAGTTAACTCGCCAAATACAGTTTCTTGATCCTCCCTTTCGCTGATGCCCAATAGAGCATGATTAGCACGCGCTATCCAAGACATAGCATCTTTATGATATTGTCTTAGAAGTTCAAGCTCTGTAATATTAACCGCCAAACCATCCCATTTGTTGAGAAGTAATTCAAGTTCCTGTACAACATAAAATGTGGCATTTACGCGAAGCTCTATTTCCATCAACGCTTTTCACGAAAATATGATAAGGTAGGAACAACCTTGAGACTGAGAGAACCTTCCAACAGATCACGGCACTGAGATTGACAACATTCAACTTGTCTAATTAAATCTAGGAGCAGTTCACCTTCAGGAAGTTGCACTTGAAGGCTTAAACTCTGAAAATGAAAAAAGAAGTAATAGAAGAATCACAAAAAAAATAATTCCAAAAAATGACAGCATCACAGAAAGCAAAGATAACTAGATCACCTCCTTCTCTAATTTGTAGACAATATCTGCCTCAACTCTTGCAGAAGTCTCAGACACGCATTTCCTTACTCTTTCAGCCCAAGCCTGAAGAAGCTCAATATGTAAGATTATAAAGCATCATTCATTCCATTTTTTAATATTGAAGCGGTAAGCAGTTTCCAATATTCACTGACAAGCATTTATCATCTTTTTCACGTCATGAGATCTTATAATTTCTCCAGCGGTAAGCAGTTTCCAATATTTGCACAGAGAACAACAAAGACAATAAGTCAAAGAAAAAGAGGAAATCATAAGTGGGCAGGAATCTGAGGAAAAGTAACTATAGACCAGTTGAACAAAACGGACGATCATAAATTTGCTGATCCTCTTTTCTACAGTCAATCGCATCTACAATGAGACGAAAGGCTTCAGAAATTTCATGATATTGGAACATGTCCCAACAAAAATAAAAAGGACCTTTTGGGGATAAGAACCAAACTTCAGGGGTTTTGTAGTCTTTTTTATATTTTTTTATATATTATTGGTTCTGAACGTAAAAGATTTTGTTGAGAAAAAAGGGTTGTTTCTTCTGTTTTCTCTCTCTTCTCCTAATCTTCACTTCCTTTAGTTTGACTCGATGTTTTCTCTCAAGGAGAACACAACGAGACATTATAATGTACCACTATTACTAAAACATAAAACTATAGTGTATCAAGCTGCTGAGTCACACTATAAAGGTTTGGGAGAAAGTGGTGGAGAAGAGAGTGAGGACGGGTGTATGTATCTCTGAGAACCAGTTCGGATTTATGTCGGGACGGTCAACTACAGAAGCCATTCATCTTGTGAGACGATTGGTGGAGCAGTACAGGGAAAGGAAAAAGGACTTGCACATGGTGTTCATTTATCTTGAGAAGGCTTATGACAGAGTCCCGAGGGAGGTGCTATGAGATGTTTGGAGGTTAGCGGAGTCCCGGTAGCGTACATTAGGGTGATTAAGGACATGTACGAAGGTGCTAAGACTTGGGTGAGGACTGCGGGAGGAGACTCGGAACTTTTTCCTGTGGAGATGGGGTTGCATCAGGGATCAGCCCTTAGCCCGTTTTTGTTTGCCCTAGCGTTGGATGTGCTCACGCGACACATACAAGGGAGGGTGGTGTATGTTATTTGCTGATGACATAGTACTGATTGACGAGACGCGAAGGGACAGACGCTGGAGTCCAAAGGTTTCAAGTTGAATAGGTCGAAAACTGAATAATTGGAGTGCAAGTTCAGTGATGAGAGGCATGAAGAAGAAGTGTTAGTAAAGATTGATACTCAAGTCATTCCCAAAAGAGATAGTTTCAAGTATCTTGGGTCTATAATTCAAGTCGACGGGGAGATTGACGAGGATGTTACTCACCGCATTGGAGCGGGTTGGATGAGATGGAGGCTAGCTTCGGGGGTTTTATGCGACAAGAATGTGCCGCCTAGACTTAAGGGCAAATTCTACAAGGTGGTGGTTAGACCGGCTATGTTGTATGGAGCTGAAATGAGGATGTTGAGATGGATGTGTGGACATACCAGGAAAGACAAGATTAGGAATGAAGTTATTAGGGACAAGGTGGGAGTGACATCCGTGGAAGACAAGTTGTGAAAATCGAGGCTGCAATGGTTTGGGCGTGAGGAGGAGAGACATAGATGCCCCGGTCAGGAGGTGTGAGAGGTTGACCATGGCGGGCTTGAGGAAAGGCAGGGGTAGGCCAAAGAAATATTGGGGAGAGGTGATTAGGCAGGACATGTCGGTGCTTCACCTAACCGAGGACATGACTAGCGGAAGGTGTGGAGGTCGAGGATTAAGGTGGTGGGTTGACAGGTAGTTGTGACTTTCTCCTAGGTTTACCAGTAGTACTAGTAGTATTCTTGCTGTTGGTTGAAAGACACTTTCTTCTAGTTTGTTAGTATATATGGTACTTAGCTACCACGTCCATTGCTTTTTGAAAATTGCTATTGGAAATTGTTGCTCCATGATTGTTACTATTTGATGCTACTTTTTTTCCCCTTTTACTGGAAATTGTTGCTCCCTGATTGTTACTATTTGATGCTACTTTCCTCCCCATTTTCCTTATTGTCTTTTGTCTCCCTTTTCTTTCTTTCTTCCCCCTCTTTCTTCTTTTTCTTCCCTTTTCTTCCGTGACACCTTTCTTGAGCCGAGGGTCTATCGGAAACAACCTCTCTACCTCTCCAGGTAGGGGTAAGGTCTGCGTATACGCTACCCTCCCCAAACCCCACATGTGGGATTATACTGGGTTTGTTGTTGTTGTTGTTGTTGTTGTTGTGTTGTTTGTTACTAAAACATAAACAGTGGCGATGTCAGCCTGGTAACCTTTCCTAAACAGTGTATAAGACAGAAAACTTACAAAATAATAAGGTATACCTTAACTGACGACAACTTGTTCAACAATTCTTCACTTTCTTCGATGTAGATGGGGCAATCTACAGTCTTGGAGTACAAGGCCTCCAAATCAGATACCTGAAAAGGCAATGAGGAAATAGTTAGCAAACATAAGAGAACAGAATGAGCAACACTTCCTAACCTCAAAGGGAAGAAGAAGAAACATTTCCAGATGATCCAAGAATGTAAAGACTATGAATGATATGAAAGGCAGATAAAAGGTTCAGAAATTAGACAACCATTTTTTTTTGTTTTTATTTTGGCGGGGGAGGGGGGAGGAATATGCTATTGTAAAGAATTGGACCTAGGGCCTAACTCAACCCCAAAAAGCGCTTATGAGGGGAGGATTGCCAAAGACCATATAAGGAGACTATAACCCATTCCCTCAACCACTACCACTGTGGGACTTAACAACTGTATTAGCTACAAATGTCATAACAAAAACCTGAAATTATACCCTAACCTGAACTACCATTCTCAATGAACAGCATTAACACCTGTCAAACTGTTCGGTAATGCGGCAGAAACATAAACTAACAAATATATGGGGTACGATAGATTCATAGAATATCAAACCACACTAATATGCACTTAGATAACTATCAACGAGGTGAATGAACTGGCTTACAAGAATATTTGAGCATGATGAAAGAACAGAATCAATCTCCAGAGTCAGCTGGCTCGCTTCTTTCTGGAAATCCTGTACATGAAGCATACTCGGGTGGTCAGAACCAGCGCAAAATATAAGTGCAGAATAAAAGAGGTAAAATCAGAAACAAAATGCATTTCACCTTCAATCTGAGATGTGCAGGTTCATTACAGGGTACAGGGTTTAAACTGAGCAAACTGTTAACAACTTCCATCTGCACCTTCACTACATCACTACTGCGATCAGACATCCAAGATTTTACTTTAGAGAGACAGTCCTTAACATTTTGAGCCCAACTCTGAGCTTCAATCAACTTCTTCACCAACTCTCTTACCTAAACCCCATTTGACAGATATTTAGTTGAAGAGAGGAACACAATCTAGGACTAAGGAGTTATAGAAAATGATATGGCTGAAATCTCACTGGATCCATTTCATGACCAGCCCACATAAACTGTTCGGCTTCCTTTATTGCACGACGATAAGCATCTGAAGAATAAGGATCCTGAAAAAGCTTACTGAACTTCATCAGCCATTTTTCAGCAAGCTGCACGTGTGTGATACATCCACCTTTTACCTACATTTGGCCATTGATTAGAGCCCATAAAATTTAGAAGCTAATACTTTATATGTTTGCACGAGCCACATATTAGCAAAAACTATTTTTTCTCTTTAGATTATTAACACGTTATTTGTATCACGAATCTGCAATTAATACTGCAGATGTCACATCTCAAAGTATCAACCGATTCAGAAAATGTGGAACAGCTAACTGAGGTATCAGCCTATCAAAGAACAGAACTTCCCAAATAGAGCAGAAAAGGTTCGAGAAGCATGTATCTGAAGACCGTTAGTATCATTCAGATAGTTAAGCTTCTTGACCACTAGTATCATTAAGATAGTTAAGCTTCTCAACTAAGTCATAGGATTGGGTGTGCGATAGCGAGAAAGTTAGACATGGTAAAGGAAAGTGAGAGAGTAGGAAAGGATTTCTCACCAGTCGTTGACACAGATTATGAAGGAAAATTAGTAGTATTAACATTTCAGATATAAAAGATCAAAGCACAAATGATTAAACACTGGTAAAGAATCATTGAGCTTGTTCTTCCATCTCCTAATGAATATCAAAACCAAGAAATATACTTCTGTTCTACTTCCTCTAAATAATGACAAGCAACAAAATGAAAGCAAGAACCTTACTTCTCCCCCCCCCCCCCCCC